AGCCCCACCCCCACCTAAGCCCAGCGCCAGACGCCAAGCCCCACCCCCACTGAAGCTCAATGCCTGCCCCCACCCCAGCCCCGCTCCACCCATGTCCCACCCCTCTGAAGCCCTGCCGCCACCAAATCTCACTCCTTTCCAAGCCCTGCCCCCACCCAAGCCCCATCCCCGCCTAAGCCCAGCCCCTGACGCCAAGCCGCACCCCCCACTGAAGCTCAATCCCCGCCCCCACCCAAATGCTACCACTGCCACCCATGTCCCACCCCTCCCAAACCCTGCTCCCATCAAATCCCACCCCTTCCTAAGTACCATCCCCCACTCATACCCCACCCCCACTCAAGCCCTGCCCCCACCGACGCCCCACCCCCATCTAAGCCCAACCCCTGATGCCAAACCTCACCCCCACCAGAGCGCAATCCCTGCCCCCACTCAAGTCCTACCCCAAGCCCTACCCCCACCCATGCCCAACTGCTGTGTCCAAGCCTACCACCCTCATTGCCCTGTGCTCCCCACTTCCACCCTAAGCCTGCCTTCCTAATGCCCGCACCCTTTCACACACCCCCCACCTCAAACACCCCCCATTCCAGAGCAGGAATACATCTGGTCAGTAGAAGTTGGCAGAGGCCGGAAGAGGAAGGGCTGAGGCCACCTTCCCTACAGGGGAAGGCCCAGAGCCACTTGTCGTGACTGCAATGGCTCTGGGCAGGGTTAGGTGTGGAATAGTTTCCCTTCAGTTCCCAAGCTGGTCGCAATGCCTCAAAATGTTAGGGAGCCGGCGGGGTGCCAGGCCTGATCTAGTGGGATCCCACTTCCAGGAGAAACCTATAGCCACTGGCCCCTGGGACACTAAGGAAGATGGCAAAGGTTCTTGGGGGGATCCTCTTCAGTTTGGGTTGCTCTCTGTGTCCCGGGCCCCATGCAGTACCTGCTGGCGATGCCTCCAGGCCAGAGCGCCCGAGCACCACAGCCACCACGAGTCTGTTGCCGCTGCTGCCGCGGTGCAGACTGGGCCGGGAGCTAGTGGTGGGAAGAGGTTGTTGGGTGACAAACCCCCCGCGGAGCTGCACACGGCCCGCTCGCAGCTGAGCCCTGGCAGCGTGGCACCCACCTCCCCCCTCAAAGGGGGCCCCACTCCTTGCACCTGTCCCTGCTGCACCTAGAGGGACAGAGAGTTCAACTCGACTTGAGGGCAGCTTATATGGCAGAGCTGGACCAAGTCCGGCCTCCGATTAGCTCAAAGGAGACCGCCAGGCCTGCCACGTGCCACACCAGGCCCAGCTGCCATTGCGGCTCCTGTTGTGCGTGTCTCTTCCCCATTGGACAGGACCTGTGTCATGACAGTCATCAGTTGCTCTCCCTATTTGAATATTTCTAGCAGTCAGCGCAGGGCCGGGTGCAAAAGTAAAGCCCCAGTGGGGGCTTACTAAAGGAAAGCCCTGATCCCTGTTAATTTTTTATTTGGCTGTGTTCTAGCAGAGGACGGCAAAAATATAGCTGCTTCCTGCATTTCACAAGGGAGTGGAAATTTTTAGCGTTTAGCAAGACACCGAGAACTATCAAAGGATTACATTCTCCCATTATTCTCTTGACTTCACGACCAAGTATTACCCACCTAGTACCCAAACTGCTTCCCGCCCTTTTCCGAAGGAGGTTTCTTCCACAGAGGGAGGACAGGAATGATTGCCCTGGGGCCCGAACCACCCTAAAGCGCTGTTCTAGAAAAAGACATGGATGAGGCACAGGTAGCACCCTGGAAGGTGTGCACAAATCCCCAGGAGATCTTGATAAAAATGCAGGTTCTGAGTCAGGAGGACTGGGGTGTGAATGAGATTCAGCGTTTCTCGAAACCCGCGTGACTCCGAAAGCTCTGTGACTCCGATGCTGCAGAGCCCTGACTATGGTTTGAGTACCAGGGCTCTGAAACCTGTAATTACTTTTCAGGACCAGAAGTTGTGGGCCTTTGAAGACAGAATAGATTTCTTTTGCTTTATCTGGGATACAAACAACAAGCTTTTCTATAATGTTTTAATAAAAATATTAAAAACATGGTCCCACCCGATGGCGTAGTGGTTAAGTTTGCGTGCTCTGCTTTGGTGGCCAGAGGTTCGTGGGTTCAGATCCTGGCGAGGACCTGCGTACCACTTGTCAAGCTGTGCTGTGGCAGCGTCCCATATGGAAAATAGAGACGGATGGGCACAGATGTTAGCTCAGGGCTAATCTTCCTCAGCAAAAAGAGGAGGATTGGGAATAGATGTTAGCTCAGGGCCAATCTTCCTCACAAAAAAATAAAAATAAAAAACTTAAAAGCAAACAAAATTTTAAATTAAAGGCAGATGATTCCTGTCTGAGAAGGTGAACACAGACCTCGCTACGCCTTACTTAATAAGAATATACTATGGAGAGTCTGTTAAACGGGTCTCCTTCCTGTGCCAAGAAAAAGCGATTACCTGGTGCTGTTTGAGTCGCAGACCCCAGGTAGGACATTTTACCTGAGGGCTCTCACAACACCCCTCCACTGTGGCTCCGTGAAGCCACTACTCAGCCTCCTGGTATTACAGGGATCATAAGGTATCACAAAGGGCCATGGAAAGTGGT